CTTCTCGAAGAAACGTACGGTGAAAATTCGTTCGATATACTGTAAATCGAAAATAATTTTGTGCCATAACATTCATTCATTAAAAACTGCAAGTCATCAAGAATGGCGAGTGTTGAAAAACATTTTTGAAGCCACTGAATTTCTCGCATATGCCGTTTTTGTCGGACGTCACAAGGAAACTTTATTAAGAGTTCCCTTAAATCGTGCACAGTATTGTACTTAAGCTTCTTATGATTTTTTAAAAATATAAATCAGAGATGAATAATTTTCGTTTCTTTTTTTTTAAGTTGTGTCATGAGCTCACTCGTAGAATTCAAGGAGTAAAGCGATTTGTTTCAAATATTTTCTGACCTTCAGCGGATCGATGTTCGCAAAATGAGGCTAGTTTCTTCACGACGTCATAAACTTGTTCCAAACAATTTTATTCGGACACGGAAGAAAACGTGCGTAATGAATCCGTCGAGGATAAATACGAGACGGAAATTAGACGAGGACGTGAACCGGCACCTGGATTGTGATGATCGTTAATCGTGCTTCCTGAGCTCGATGCGGCTCCGTGGCGTAAATCGCCGACCTCATTAGCGTCATTAGGCCTCCGGTTCCGGCGGGAGCGTGACCGAACCGGAACAGAACGGATGTGACCAGGTGCCATCCTGGTTTTGAGCCCCTTGCTGTGCTTTCCGTGAGCAATTTCGAGGAAAATCGTTGACTCGTTTGGCATCGCTCAAATGACCGGAGGAAAGCAACGCTTCGTCGACCTTTTCCACTGCACACTGATTTTTTTGCTAATTCTCCAGGTAAAAAAAAAAATTACAGATGAAGTTGAGATTAAAGATGAAAAGCGTGTCGCAAAATTTGAATGAGAACTGAAGATATAATTTTATACTTATCGTTAGTCATGATCACAAAAATTCGACGCAAAGGCTCCACCAAAGACTTATATTTGGTGTGGAGAACACACTACAGTATTAATCGATCGTGAAAAATATGAAAAGCTAGAAATGTTGTATCTTTTTTATTATCATCGGCTTCTGTGAAGTTTATTCAAAGCTTTTCTGCTTAGATGCATTTCGCGGGATTTAAATAATTGAAATATCTCGGCTTGAATTCATTTAGGTTTTTTTGTCGGGCGGCGCGAAGAATTTTGTCCTTTACATCCTGTACAACCTTTACTACTGCCGTAGAATGTAGTTCAAACGAGGGATTTCGGTCAAATAACGTATAAATAAGATAATTGTTCATTTAATGGACTTGGGGACGACCAAAATGACGGACATTCATTTCTATGGAATCGCACTAATTTCGTCTCTGGCAATCAACTTCCAGATGAACGATCTCAACGACAGCTCCCTAGTGTGGGTGAAACAACTGCAGTCGCTCAAATGATCAATTAATAACGGTATGACAAGTCTAATTACCACACCGAACTCCGAGCCACGAGGCCGGAAAACCGTGGCAACACGCCTATTATTTTTTCACATTTTAATTTTAATTTCTCTCCTATAGAAATACTTTTTTTAGTTAACATGCAAATTAGGCTGAGAAAAGTCTCTGACTCGGACGTCATCATTGGCCTTTTTTTTCCTCCCCTCTGCCAACTCTCATTATTGTCATTCTTTTGTTGTGCGGATCAGCGGAACCCAGGCCGAAAAGGCGGTAAGGCGTCTGGTAGCTTTTGTGCTCTATGGGAAGACTTCGGTGAGCATGACGCGATGCTTCTTTTCGTGAACCCGCGGTCGTCCCTCATCATTTGTGTGCTTAATTACTACCGGCTGAAAGGCCGCAGCAGGTTATGATGAGTGATTAAGTATGTGTGCGTGCATTGTGGGGTAATCGTGACATGGGGAGGATTTTTTCTTCTTCATCCACCCTCTCGTTTCTTCTGTGGGTTGAATTTATGTTTTCTTCTTTGTTGCCAATTTTGGGTTCAGGTCGGATGTGAGACGATTTGTGCTAAAGAATGACTCCTTGAATTTGGAATTTCGCCAAGTTTGTATAGCGGGCGAAAACTTGCACCTTCATTAAAATTCTTGAGAATCGCGAGCAAATGAAGTCATCTTCTTCTCTGTCATATGAGTAACGAATATGCGAAGAAGTTTATGTGGCTGATCGTATTTTAGTTTTACTGGAGTCTTCTGGGTTAGTTTGTTTACTGTTTAATATATTCTAAAGCGTATACTGGCTCGAGCTGCATTCCTGGTTTAAAAAGAAATGAATGGAATGCTGTACTGTATTGTAATTCCTATGCGCAATACTCAGACAGTTGAATCTCTCGAATGTTGACTGAGTTGAATTATAAATTTACCTGTGAGAAGTTCAGTTAGACTTATAAGTCGAGGTGATACATTCGTATTTGATGAGATTATTGAGAGGGGTCTTTATGTGGATTACAATAAGATTTTCTTGATTGCAGCCCCTTGAAAATTATGAAATCACCCCATTTATGCGATTAAGCCCTAATTTATGGTTTCCAATTATGGCAGGATAAATGGTATAATTCGCTGACAAATTTGACGTTTTGAACGGAAAATGCGACTGATATCGCGCATAAACCATCAATTACATATGGTCTGTGAAAATATCCCGGATATTTGCATGGTCTAGTATAATTAGGACATGGACTTGACCCAATAAATCTATGTCGAAAGGAATCGAAGCGTGAGTTGAAAGTTTTTGTTTAGAAAATGTGCCCTCGATTTTACTCAACCTAACGTGATTGATTGAATGTGAAGTCGGTTCTCTGTGTCGTGAGAAGCCGGAAATGCAAAAACTGTCCCTGCTTTCGGTATGAAAGTATGGAACATTTTCATTTTCATGATCAGCGGGGTAGAAAAAAAATATTGGTTCCATAGGATTTGTGGAGTTTGTTGCTGCGCAGAAAGACACGGGCGATTTTCTGCTGAATTCTTTTCCCCCTGGCGAGACCAATTTTGGCGTTAGGGGTTCATTTTTTGGGAGGAAGTGTCCTATTCATCCGAAGTACTGACCAGTATCAAAAATGTTCCACCTTGAAGGCTTCAATGCGAACGTGGCGTGTCCTTCAGCTCAGCGTGCATCGGATCTTCAAGTCGTGACGTGCGGCTTTGACCGTAGCTGATTATTTCCACCTTTTTCCCCCCAACCTTCCGTTCATTTTTTTTTAATAAAATCAAAAGCAGCCCTGTTTTTTTCATGACTTGAAAATTATTTTCAGATAAATAACTCGGTCGGGGGAGGGAGGGAGACCAATTACGGTTAACGACTGAAGGTCCTAATGCGAGCTCGAAGCGTTGCGTGCTGACAAATCAGGGCAATGGTGATTGAGAGTGTCTTGTAAGAACAGAAAATAATATACTTATACTGAATGACGAAATGCTTCAACTTATCGTTTCTGTCATCATTTTGTTGCTTGAAATAATGTCACGCTTTTTCTTTTGAGGCCAGGTCTGCTGATTCGACTGATGCTTACATTTACGTCAGGTTGCGCATTAATTGCAAAAAAAAAAATTATGGATCAATTGCTTCTTTTTAAACTTGTTCTGTTTTATAAAAAAATTGTATGCTTCCCCGAGAATATATCTTGGCAAGTTATAACGTGGATTTTGATGAATGCCTTGTACATCCTTTTTGAGAACCGTCAAGTTTTCGTTGCTTGGTCTCCTCAGACGTATACAAACTTCATCCTTTTCTAATTATTCGAAAACTTCTGTGCTTTTGAAAATTTGTCTGTGTGGTCCAAGACGCGACTCGCATCAGATTTTAAAAACATCAACTTTGAAAGGCTTTCTTCCGATAACAACACCGAATGGTGTTATTTTTCTACCGAATCCGGAAATTCTGGGGTCATTTCCGAACTTGGAAAGCAAATTGATCCGACCGTTGACTGGAATTCAGATTCCGCTGTGATTCATGCAAACATAACTTCGTGGTAAGTCCTGTTTTTGGGCACACTCGCGTAAATGCGATTCAAGTTCGCTTGTAACGTGGATGTGACTTTCTCGAACATCATCATCTTTATAAAGTACTCATTATCTTTACTTGTGTGTAGAGTAATTCCAAGATCCTGGAATCCCATCTCCAGGGAAGGAAAGAACATTATCCACGCAAATGTCCTGCGTTATTTCTCGTAACTCGGAAAACACGGAGTCATGAATGCATTCCGTCGTATCTGCAAAGAATGAAATTGATGGTTATTTCCGATTTTACCTACAGTTTCACAATGTTTATGTTTCTCTCAACGACTTGAACGCAAATGTTATTCATAAAACTTTTCTCTGCATTCCGAGCTGTACCACGACAACATGGATATTTATTTTTCGAATGTGCGCTTTGGAGGCAATTGTGTGCCGAACCCCGGGATCTTCGAATTCGTATTTTTTTTTCCCCACAGGGAATGAGAAAAAAACGAGTCCGACGCAAATTTGACTTTTTATTTCGTCGAATGCCGAAAATAATAAAGTTCCTCTTAGCACATTCGAGTGTTGTCCCAGTCGGACGCGACCTCATATATTTTTAGTTAAGGTGTGATTATTTAAAAAAAAATGACGTAGCCCTTGATGTTCAAGGGTTCTGGGATTTTTTTTCAGAATTTCTAAAACGGTTTCTTCAATTTACTGCATGATGATAAGTGAAAACTTTCCAGTTACAGCCAGAGTTCTCCTCCCATGTCACAGGGATCTAAAAATGTGCCAGGTCTGCTAAAAATGGAAATTTTCATTGTTTACCCATTATCTTTTCTACATTTTTAATACAGTAATGCTAAAAATGTGTCCGGTCAGCTAAAGAATTTGAATTTTTTTGTTTTACGCATTATTTTTTCATCATTATAAATAGCGGTTAAAAGAGCACAAAATTAAATTTTTTCAGCTAGTCTGACAATGTTAGCAAGCTTTGACATGGCTGGAGAACTCGGGCTGCAACTGGAAAGTTTCCGCTTATTGTCATGGAGTAAATTTAAAATTAGAATCCTGAAAAAATCCCAGAACCTTCGAACATTGTGGGATATTTCGCTGTTTTTGTTTCAATCTCACCTTATTCTAAACATATCCAAAGTCTCGTCCAAATGGGACAGCCCGCGTATTCTCTTGTACTTGTTTGTGCAGCATGAGAATAAATGTAAGCCCGGGCTAAATAAATTTAGGAGAAAAACGAGTCTTGGGGCAGCGCAGGAGAGGTATTGTTATTACGCCTCAGTAATCCGTGCCTGCTGGTGCCCGGAAGAACGCGAAACGCGCAGAAATAAGACCCCAAGCACACTGACATCAATTGAGTCCGGGGCCCCCCCCCTCGGGACGGGATCTTAGGTGTAACGGGAAAAGAACCTGCTGGGCCGTGTTCCGAGTTATTCTTCTGTTCCTCGCGGCGCCGGAGTCAATTGGGGACTCGGACCCGAGATGCAGGAACCGGAGAATGAAGGACCATCGTCGTCGGATTTCTCTCAAATGCTTATGTACATTTTTAATTCCTTTTTCGTCGTGCTTTCTTCATTTCCATCATGACGGCGATGCTGGGAAGAAATAATGATAACAATGCGATATGTCCGTGTTTCG